GACGAGCAGAATGATATTAACTAGTTAGACGGTGGCTTAGGAGATGTGATCAACCTCGCGGAGCTTCTCACATACAAGCAATCGAGATGCAGTAGCATGTGTACAAGATTGAGAGCAGAGTACAATTACGAAGCGACGACCGGTGGAACTAAGGACAGAGGAAAGAAGGAAGGGTGTGATATGCATCAGGGCACTGATAGGATGGGGGAAGGAGGACATGGTCCTGAATCGCCCAGGCAGGAGGCTGAAGGGCAGGATCGGTGTGGGACCCACGTCGGAGGAACGACGGCGACGGAGTCGGACAGTAAAGAAGGGCGACTCGCGTTCCGCCTGTCGAGCTATTTTGAGTGGAGGACAAAGAAGGAACACGGTACTTACCGGCGCAGCGCATCATGGCAAGGGTCGGGGGAAGAGACGACCACGCACCAGTGGAGATACACGCTCCTGCCAAAGTTGGAGGTGCCAGAGCGATTTTCAGGGGATACTCGGCGCAGACCTACGTGATGCAGCTGGAGAACTTGGGAGTGAGGTGGGACCTCGATCGGCTTGATCCAGAAGAATTCTTTCACGGGCTGGCGAATACTTTGACTGGCTACCGCCTTTGTTGTTGCGAATTGCTGGAGTGGGCGGCCAGGGCGGCGCCTGGGGAGCGTGATCCAACGACGTGTTTTCTTGGCATGCCGGAGGAGCAGTTTCTTGCGCAGACGCCGGAGAAGGTTGCTGAATTCAGGGAGTTCATGCCGAGGTAAGGGGAGTCGCTGCTAGCGTATTACGAGCGCCTGGTGGAATTGAGGGAGGACACAAGCTGCCAGGACTAAGGCAGGCTCATCAACAAGTTTTTCAATGGGCTGCACTACGAGCTGCAGAGAGACGTGCAAGTTTGGGTGTTCGACCTGGGCCCGATTGTAACAATGAAAGAAGCCCACGAAGTGGTGAAGCGGGTGGAGACGGGACGGCGTATGTTTGAAATTGAAATGACGGGGAGTGTGATGTGGAGCGAAGGAGGCCGGCCTGGTCAGCTGCTCCCGCAGATCGGGAGCGACGTATGCGCAAGGGAGGGGAGGAGAGGCGCTGTCACAACTATGGGAGGACATGGCATTTACGCCGTGAATGCTGTGACCCACCAGCCTGCTCAGTCTGCGGTAGCGAAGAGAACCTACGTCGAGAATGTCCTGACGTGCCCAGCTGCGAGTGGTGTGGCAGAAAAGGGCATGCGGAGAAAGATTGCTATGCATCCGGCCGGGACGGACAGAGTAGCCGGAGCGACAAGACATGCGAGCGCAGATCGCCCGTCTACAACGTCAGCTATAGGGAATGGAGGGAACGAAATGACAGGCCTATTGGCCGACGCCAAAGAAGAGCACACGAACAGCGAGGCGAGTTTTGCTTTGATGGCACGGTCGGCGTGACATCAGGGCATCATGGGGCTCTAGGCCCGGCATCGTTACTTCCTGAGGACGCAAACGGTGTCGCGGGAGAGGGGGCCCAGGCGAGAGGCGCATACGGAGCCAAGGGAAGGAGGAGCTCGCAGACACCCTTTGGAAAGGATGGCATGAAAACCTTCGGTGCTGGTAGTGGAGAAGGATGTGATGACGGTGGGAGGGGTGAAAGTTAAGCAGGCCATTGTGGATACACGGGCACACAACGTACTGAGTGGGGCCCCGCTGGTAAGGCTTCTGTGGCTGGATAGATAGGAGCGAACAATCCCAGAGGGATACCTGCTGATGACAGTGGAAGGGGGCACGGCAAAGTGGATGCCCAGGATGCGAAGCACGGTGGAGATAGTCATCCGCCCCAAACAAAAGGAGGAACGTGTGGTGAGGATGCATTGTCGCATATCAATCTCGAAGGATTTGTGTACGCGATCGGGACAACTATCTGCAATCTGGGAAGAGTGGCTGCATTACCGGGTGATGTACTGGGAGCACGACGGGATGCTGGCACAGCTATTGATGAGGTTCATTCGCCGCGAACCTAGAGAGGCCTATTAGGTGATGGAATGGCCCCTGCAGGAGGAGCTGGGGGTGATGGGATGGAAGGAGATGGAGCAAACCATGGTGGCACGCAAGCAGTATGAGGAAATATGGAGAGTAAGAGACAACCTGCGAGAGCCACAGCTGAACCTCAAGGCCTTTCAGGCAGTACTGGAGCTATTCGGCGAAATTGCCACAGGGTTGGCCGCGCTCCTGAAAGCAGGGCATGCTGTGAGCACCGACCTGTACGTGGACAATTAGGACAATGCCAACTTGATGGCCTGGCACCACACTAATTTGCTGAAGGCGCGCTACCCCTCGCAGATAATGGAGGGGGCAGCAGGGCGCGGTGCTGAGTGGCTATGTCGAGGAGTGGAGAAAATTTTCGAGTGTCTGATCGCGGAGTGGGGGAAGTTTGACTTGGTGATCGCGGGCTGGGAGTGCCAAGGCTACTCAACGGCCAGGAAAGGACAAGTAATGGAGGATGAGAGGAGAGGGCAGTTCAGGGAGTTACTACGCGTGCAGAAAATGATCAAGAGGAGGCAAGGCGAGGTGATGTACATCATCGAGAATGTCGACATGATGGAGGACACAAGGCCGGCAATGTGAACGGCCCATGAAGAAATAACGGCACGGCTGGGGGCAGGAGTGGCTTGGGATGCCACACGGAACGGGAACTGGTCGCATAGGGCTAGAAGGTACTGGCAGAATGTGGACCCCGGAAGCAGCGCTGCGGTATCAGCTATTTCATATGGAGAGGCCAAGGGCAAGGTTGGTGGCAGATATCCTGGAACCAAAGAGGCTGCTGGCGCCAGTGACACACCCAGTGCCCGTGCAACAAGGTGGGGGAACCACGGCAGGCATGGCCCACTCTGGTGTCCTACGAGCGGGCAAAGGCTTCCTGGAATTACGAGGGGTGGTAGGGCCAGGCCTGGTCTACGACCAAGCGAGAGGAGAATGGGAGGTGTCAAAACTAGAGCTTAGAATTCATACATTAGTAGTGAGCTCAAAGCTCTTTAAGTACATCAGAACTGAGCAAGGTATGGATTGGGAGGGAATCGGGGGCAATCCCAGGGAATTGGGGGTAACTACAAGGCAGTCTCCGATTGGTGGATTGGAGATTGCTTGGAGATCACATTTGGGTTTGGTTGGCATGTGGGTGTACACCAAACCAAACTACACTAAACTAGGATATAGAAAGTAGAAGTACAAATGTGAGATTGAGGGCTAACATTAACACCCCCCTATAGACGTCAATCAAACTCATGGCAGAGAAGGTGGAGCGCAGAGCTCCATGGTGCCTAGAAGGCGATGGTGAGGAACCTTCCCAAGGGGCTTGGTAAATTGATCAACCAAGTTGCAGTTAGAAGCCACATACTCCACATTGAGCTGCTCCCGCTGGACAAAGTCACGGATGAAGAAGTGCCAAAGTTCGATGTGCTTGGTGCGAGTGTGGTACATGGGATCCTGGGAGAGGTGGATGGTGCTCTTGTTGTCACACCAGAGGGTGGGAGTGGGCTGACGGTAACCAAGCTCCTGGAGTAGAAAGGTGAGCCAGTGGGCCTCCTAAGCCGCCATGGTGCCAGCATAGAGCTCTGCCTCACAGGAGGAGAGGGAGACTGCAGACGACTAGGTGGAGCGCCAGCTGACAATTCCGCTTCTAAGGGTGAAGCAGTAGCCTTGGGAGGAGCGTCGGTCAGTTTGGTCATCAGCCCAGGAGGAGTCTGTGTAACCTTCTAGTCGAGGAGGAGAATGTCAACGGGAGTGGTTGTTGGCCCCGTCGCTTGGGCGGAGCCGACTTCGTTGTCGGGTGTGCTGGGAGCGCAGCCGATCAGCTGCAGTGGGCGACATCGATTTGGGTGCCCAGGTTGACGAGCTGGCCGACCTGCTCGAGGCCACTGCCACAACCACCGACAATGGGGAGCTGGCGGTTGAACAATCCTGGTGGTCGACGAGGGTGGACGCCGACCTTGGGAGGCTCCGACGTCGACTTGGACAACAGAGCTGTGGGGCGCCGACTTGGAGGGCGCCGAGTTTGGGTGGTCGACCAAGCGAGGTAGACCTTGGAGGCGTCGACTTGGTGATGCCAACTTGGGAGTGGCCGACCTGGTGAAGTCGGCTGGTGGTCGTCAACTTGGGCTGTCAACGAGCACATACAGCTTCTGGTCGACTTTCCCCAAAGAAGTCAACGCTGACCTGGTGGTTTCCAGGTCGACCGAGTTACCTGGGTGACGAATTTCTGCGGAGGTGCACGACAGTCGCCCAGGTGGTCCTGGCGAGGCCGACCTCGGGGATGGTATCCCGAGGTCGACGTGGAGGGTCAGGTGCGGACGTGGGCCGTGGTCAGCGTGGCGTCTGCGCTGTGCGAGTGACGAGGCACAGCGCACCAACCAGTTGCGAGCACATGTGAGGCGGGTGCGCTGTTGTCCTGCGGATGCAACGCTGTGCCGCCAACCTACTGCAGTGTTGGCACGCCGTTGACAAGCAGCATTGGCAGACCTCGGCATTGCACAGCTGGAGCGCGGTCAACCGTGTCATGCTGGAACGTGGTCGACCGTGCTGCGCTGGCAATCGACTGGCTTGCATGCTAGGATCTGATGTAGTCGGTGTTGCCTTGACATTGCGTATCATTCTTGTCAACTTTTCCTAGTGGAACTCGGTGTGGCTTAGAGCATGCCTCTGGTGTGTGTGAAGCAAGGAAAACAGGAATGAATGAACTAGCAGTGAAATGAGTACAAGTAGGAAACCCTAGAATTGTGTACCCCCTATAGGCTAACCCACTGTAGCCTACACAAGCATAACATATATAATGTTTGACACACCCCCATAGGCAAAGTGGGGGAGAACAAGGGGTCACAAGACCAGTCAAGCAAAGCAAAGCAAGCTCAGGGTGGATCACAAAGTCACCACACAGTCCGAGCACAAGAGGAGGGCCAGAGGCCAGTTCACATGCAGGAGTACAGACATATATATAAAACTAGACAAGCAAGAGCAGGTATATATATATATGTCACAGTACAAGTGAAGTCAAGAGGAGAGCAAGTGAGGCAAGACAGGCACAAGACCCAGCTGGGTGCAAAAGCGCTGATGGTCACAAGGCGCGAGTGCCTTGGTGAACACATCAGCAGTGTTGGCCTCAGAGGCCACGTACGCAAGTCGCAACTGACCACGCTGCTGCAGCTCACGAGCAAGGAAGTAGCGGAGAGCAATGTGCTTCGTTCTGTGCTCCAAGCGCTGCTCTCGACACAAGGCCAGCATGGCCTTGTTGTCTACGTACAGCACTGGAGGAGAACGAGGCGGCTCTCCAAGGTCAGTCAGCAGGTAGGTGAGCCAGCGAAGCTCCTGTGCAGCCATGGCCCCGGCGTAGATCTCAGCCTCACAACTGGAGCCGAGAACCGAAGACGAGCGAGTAGACCGCCACGAGACAGAGCCGGAACCAAGGCTGAAGGTGTAACCCTGTGACGACCGCTGCGTAGCCTGGTCGTCAGCCCAAGAAGCGTCCGCGTGGCCGGTAAGGACCACTGGACTCCGCCCTCCAAGCACTAGCCCCATGCCCGACGTACTGCACAGGTAGCGCAATACCCTCTTCGCTGCAGCCATGTGCTCCGGTCTGTGTCTCCCAGGAGCAACATAGCGTGCAAGAATGCTCAGAGGGTATGCAAGGTCAGGTCGTGTGCAGGTCATCAGGTACATGAGGCAGCCAACAAGCTCTGCATACGGACCACTCGACTCTACGGACTCATCCGAAGGCAGAGCTGAGAGTGAGTGGCGAGTAGGCAGAGGAGTGGCCTGAGGCGAGGAGTACGTGAAGCCGAAGCGCTGAAGGACCTGCTGCACCATGTGTGACTGAGTCAAGGTAATGGTGCGGCGTGCTCTGTCCCGAGTGATCTGCAAGCCAAGGTAGCTGCGCAGTTCACCCAGGTCTGTGCACGTGTGTCTCTTCAGCACCTCGGACTTCACGTAGGCGAGTCCAGCAGTGTTCGCTGTGGCAAAGACCAAGTCGTCGACGTACACAAGGATGTAGAACGGCGGCAGGGAAGTGTCGGTGCGAAGAAACAGCGACGGGTCAGCAGTAGAAGGAGCAAACCCAAGAGCCGCAAGCGTAGTCCTCAGTGTGTCGTGCCACTCACGCGGTGCCTGGCGGAGACCGTAGACTGGCCGTCGGAGGCTCCACTGGGTGCCAGGAGGGAAAGTCCCAGTGAAGCCAGGTGGACGGCGCAGCCAGATCTCCTCGTGCAGGCTACCCTGCAGGAACGCAGTGCTGAAGTCGAGAGAGTGAAGCTCGTAGTCGTGCTGAGCGGCTATGTGCAGCAGCACCCGAAGAGTGGTCATCTTCGGGGTGGGAGAGAAGGTCTGAAAGTAGTCAACCCCCTGCCGCTGACTGAAGCCACGAGCAACGTACCGCGCCTTGAAGACAGGTGGAGAGCCCGGCGGCCGCTTCACCCTGAAGATCCACATGCCACTGACGATGTTCGCCCCAGGAGGGGGAACCGCGTCAACGTAGGTGCCTGTGGACTTCCAGGAAGCCATCTCTGCATCCATAGCTGCCTGCTACTGAGAGGAGTAGGGACCCTCTACGGCCTCCGCGTAAGAACGCGGAGTCGGGATGTCTAGTGCATCCGGGTCTCCCTCAGGGGCAAGCAGTACAGACGCGAGATGAGGTGAAGCAGCCGCTAGACACTGTAACTCCTCCTGTCTGTCCTCTAGGGCGTCCGTGCCAAGAGCACACTCACCCCCGACGGACGGAGGACAGACAGACGCAGACTCAGCAACAAGACTAGCAGCGTAGTCGAGACGACAGCGAGCAGCAAAGTCGACGAGCTCAACGACAAGAGCAGACGCAGCAGTGGACTCAAAAGAGGGGTCAGTGACGACAGTAGCAAGCAGACGCATGACAGTAGGACTGGCAGCACGAAGAGAGTCCGACTCAGGGTCGGCAAGCGCAGGAAGAGAGGACTCCGGAGGAGAAGGCAAAGGGGCACGCAGAGGAGCAGTGGACGGACGCAAAGACATCCGGTGCGTGCCAGGGACAGGAGGAGGACGCTGACGCGAACTGCGACCACTAGCGCGAGCAGCACGAACAGGCGACGCGGGACGAGACGCAGGCTCACGACGCTCAGCAAGACCTCCAGTAGGACCAGTGTAAGGAGAGGGAGCAGGCAGGGGAGAGGAAGGCTCCAGCAGGGACTGCGACTGGACAGGCGGTGGACCCTCTACTGGAGGAGAAAGACCAAGAACCTGCTGCAGGAGCGGAACGAAGTACGGCCGAGGCCGCGCGGCAGCTCCAGACGCAGCACGGACAGCACCAGCACCCTCAGCGACAGCACCAGCGCCACCCACACCTCCAGCGGCAGGACCAACAGCAGTAGGCTCAGCACCAGCGCCCTCAGCAGCTCCAGCTCCAGGAGGACCCGCAGGTCCAGCAGCTCCGGGACCGGCAGCACCCGCACCCTCGACGGTCGAAGAAGCTCCAGCTCCAGCTCCAGCAGCACCTCTAGACGCAGCAGCACGCCTCCAGCGGCGAGCGAACCACTTGCGCAGCTCCTGTGGAGAGAGGGGCTCCCGGCGAGACGCAGCAGCAGGAGAAACCCCAGGCTCAGCAGCTCCAGACGCAGCACCCCCAGGCTCAGCAGCTCCCAGCTCAGCACCCCCAGGCTCAGCACCTCCAGGCACAGCACCCCCCGGCTCAGCACCCCCAGGCTCCGCACCCTCCGCAGTAGCACCCTCAGGCCCAGCACCCCCAGCAGTAGCACCCCCAGGCTCAGCACCCCCGCGCACAGCACCCCCAGAGTCAGCACCCCCAGGCTCAGCACCCGCAGCAGCACCAGAGTCACCAGTAACCTCGACCGGGTCAACGGCGTCTACCTGGGACACACCTGAGGGGGCAGGAACCTGAGGGGGGAGGGGGTCTACCGGGGGGGGAACCGGCACAAGGAAGTCCGGGGGAGGGGGGAGGGAAGGAGTGCGGTAGGGGAAGAGACGGTAGAAGGGGACTGACTCGTCGAACGTGACGTCCTGGGAGGACAGAACACGACGAGAGGAGGGGTGGTAAAACTGCCACCCTGGGGCGTTAGTGGGGAAGCCAAGGAAGACACAGGGAGCAGCACGAGGGGACAGCTTGTCCGCAGACAAGTCGCGGACAAACGCCCGAGATCCCCAGACACGGAACACAGACGCATCGCCAACCTTCCCCGTCCACAGCAAGGCTGGGGACATCGCAGGCCGAGAGACCCGGGGGTGAAGGTTGAGCTGATGCGCCGCGTACCTCACCGCAAACGGCCACAGAAAATGGGGGGCAGCCGCATGCATCATGGACGTACGAGCGACATCCATGACCATGCCAATGCGGTGCTCAGCAATCCCATTTTGCTGTGGTGAGTCCGGAAGCGTGAAGGTCTGGCGGATCCCCCGTGCACGACAGTAGTCCCGCAGAAGGCGAGAAGAGAACTCTCCGCCTCTGTCAGAGTGCAGACGCAGAACAGGAAAGTCCGAGCCGAAGCTCTTCCTGAGCTGGAGACGAGCCTCACGGATCCAGTCGATCAGTACCTCAGTGACCGCACCCTTGCTGCGCAAGGGGAGGACTGTGGTGTAACGCGAGTAGTCGTCAACCACCAACAGGAAGTAGCGCTCGTAACCCTGCCCACGGACGGGGGCTGGGCCCCACACATCCATGTGAAGCGTCTGCAGGGGAGCCTCTGTCGGGGGGAAGTGGGAGGAGTGAGGAGTAGCCCGGAGGCGACCCTCGACACAGGGGACACAGGAAGGTCCCGGCCCGGAGGGGAGAGGAGGGAGAGACTGGGGAAGACCAGAGACAAGGACACGGGAAGCCATGCTCCGAAGACGGGGCAAGGAGGGGTGGCCAAGACGGTGGTGCCACAGGAGAGTCTCGTGAGACAGGAGGCGACAAGAACAGGGGGCAGACTCAGGACCTGACCGGGACGCAGCAGCAAGCACCTGACCCGACGCAGCCACCTGACCAGACGCAGGGACAGGAGGAGACTCAACGGTCAGGGTGTAGAGACTCGACCCCGGCCGACGCGAGAACGTGGCCAGGTGTCGGCCTGTGCGTGCCTCCGTGCAGTGGGTCACCCGCTGACTCGCAGGAGTGAACTGGTGAACCCCCACATCCTGCAGGTCCGCTCCACTCACCAAGTTCGTAGAGAACGAGGGAAGTTACAGACCCGATAGGGTGCCTGAAGGGGCAGCCGGACACGGGAGGACAGTGGAGAAGTGAGACAGGACAGGACCCCCAGAGGGGTCAGCAAGGGAGACCGCAACCGGCCGGCCGAGCGGCGTAAGGGTAGTGCGGTCTCGAAAGAAGGAGCGAGAAGCTCCGGAGTCAAGTGTGAAAGTGAGGGAGGACGAGGACGACGCAGTACCTGAGAGCGCAGTCTCACCAGTACCTGAGAGCACAGATGCACTGGCACCTAGAGCAGCAGCCTCACAAGCACCTAGCGCAGCAGTACCAATGCCCGGGTCGGGCTGGAAACAACGGTAACCCTCATTCTCCTCACTATAATCCACAACATACATAGCAGCAGGGATAGCATCAAAATCAAGATCAAAGATCGCTACACCAGCCCTGAGAAGCTCATCCCAGCGAGGGATCTCACTAGCCCCAGGGAACTGCTGACGCCAAGCGTCCGTCAGGCGGCCAAAGCAGCGCTGGGTGGCGTGGGCACCCCCACACTGCTCACCCGCGCGGTCGCCGGAACGAAGAACGTAGGTGCAGGGACCAGTACCCCCACCCCTCTGACGCCCAGCATACCACTCACGAAGCTGCTGAGGCGGAGGGATGTCCCGCGAGCGCTGCTGCTGCTGCCGCTGCGAGCGCTGGCCACCACCACCGCCGCTACGCTGCTGGGTACCACCTCGACCAGCTCCACCTCCACCACCACCACCGCCTCCTCCGCTGCCGCCTCCACCGCCTCCACCTCCGCCGCCTCCACCACCGCCGCTGCCTCCACCACCACCGCTGGCACCACCACCACCGTCTCCGCCACTGCTGCCACCACCACCACCACCTCCGCCACTAGTCCCGCCGCCACCCCCACTCCCTCCGCCGCCACCGCCGCCACCGCCACCGCCCCCTCCAGCTCCACCCGCGCCCTTGCCCCCCTTGCCCTTGCTGGAGCGACGTCTCCCACTAGGGGCAGACGCCGCGCCGACCGACTCAAGACCAAGCAGGTCGGCAGCAGCAGCAGAGGCAACAGAGGGCAGCAAGGGGGAAGGAGAGCACCCCTCAAAGATGGGGGTGCGAGGGTCACCACGAGAAGCACCTACAGCGACTATGCTCTTCTCCGCTGCGAGGAGGGCCTTCTCGAGGAGGTCGACGGTGAGGGTGGTGGGACAGACTGCGAGAAAGTGGTCCCTGACGACGCGAAGGGAGTCAGGGAGGCGCGCGACTACGTAGTAGAGAGCGATGTACATGGGGGGGGGGGTTCTTAGCGCAGAACTCAGCAGGAAGGGCGGCGCGGTAGCAAGTGTCACTAGTGCGGAGGTGTGTAATGAGGTCAGCGACAGTGGGAAAGGCAGAGAGGTCAGGAAAGAGGTAGGGAAGCATGAGACGGCTCAGTGCAGCAGTGGCAGGGGAGGAGTAGCGCGCAACTACAGCGTCGTACAAGGTCTGAGCACTCTTGTACTGACTAAAGTGCGCACGCTCAGAGGTAGGGAGGTGGCGACGCACAGCAAGACGTGCAGCAGCATCGCGGGTGGCCCACTTAGAGCGGACAGTGGGATCAGCATCAGCAGCAGGGGCAGGAGAGGCGCCAGAGGTGAGGTCAAAGAGAGAAAGGTCGTCAGCCCTGTCGCACTGTAAGAACAGCTGCAGGTCGTCTAACCAGACCTCAAAATCAATGGCGCGACCCTCAGCGTCAAAAGCTAGGACACTAGGGGTAGCCATGGCGGCGACAGCGACGCAGTGCAAGCAGTAGGGAAAGAGCTCGCAGTGTCAGTGGGACTGTGCTCACCAGGCAGGGCAGGTCGTGCAGCTATGCAGAAAGGCGGCTCAGCGACCGGGCGGCTCGGGTGCACAGCGGCTCGGCTCCCGGGCGGCTCGGCGGCTGGGCGGCTCGGGCGCAGGGCGGCTCGGCTCCCGGGCGGCTCGGCGGCTGGGCGGCTCGGGTGCAGGGCGGCTCGGCTCCCGGGCGGCTCGGCGGCAGGGCGGCTCGGGTCCTGGGCGGCTCGGCGTTGGGCGGCTCGGCTCCCGGGCGGTTCGGCTGCTGGGGCGGCTCGGCCGGGAGATGCAGGGGCGGGGCCGTCAGGTGCAGCGGCGGGTCGACCGGTGCAGTGGCGGGCCGGCAGGTGCAGCGGCGGGCCGGCAGGTGCAGCGGCGGGCCGGCAGGTGCAGCGGTGGGCCGGCAGGTGCAGGCGGCGGGCCGTAGGGTGCAGCGGCAGGCCGGCAGGTGCAGCGGCGGGGCCGTCAGGTGAAGCGGCGGGCCGCTGGGTGCAGCGGCGGGCCGGCAGGTGCAGCGGCGGGCCGGCAGGAGCAGCGGCGGGCCGGCAGGAGCAGCGGCGGGGCCGTCAGGTGAGGCGGCGGGCCGGCAGGAGCAGCGGCGAGCCGGCAGGAGCAGCGGCGAGCCGGCAAGAGCAGCGGCGGGGCCGTCAGGTGAGGCGGCGGGCCGGCAGGAGCAGCGGCGGGCTGAGGGTGCAGCGGCGGGGCCGTCAGAGGCGGCGGGCCGTAGGGTGCAGCGGCGGGCCGTAGGGTGCAGCGGCGGGGCCGTCAGAGGCGGCGGCGGGGCCGCGGCAGTAGAGGCGGGGCCGCGTCAGGGGAGGCGGCGGGGCCGCGTCAGGGGAGGCGGCGGGGCCGCTTCAGGGGAGGCGGCGGGGCCGCGTCAGGGGAGGCGGCGGGGCCGCGTCAAGCAGGCGGCGGGGCCGCGATCAAGCAGGCGGCGGGGCCGCGATCAGGAGAGGTGGCGGGGCCGCGTCTGAGGGACAGCGGGGCCGCGAGGGAAAAGGCGACCCGAGGGGTCGCTAAAAAAAGGGCGCGCCTCGGGGCGCGCTTCGGTGGGCCCTAAAAAAAACGGTCCTAAGGCAGGACCCGCTCTATACCATGTGAAGCAAGGAAAACAGGAATGAATGAACTAGCAGTGAAATGAGTACAAGTAGGAAACCCTAGAATTGTGTACCCCCTATAGGCTAACCCACTGTAGCCTACACAAGCATAACATATATAATGTTTGACAGTGTGGGTACAGTTGGAGCGGTGAGGAGGTGTTGCAACAGCAGTGGGGTGGTCGTAGGTGTGCACAGCTCCATCTCAAACCGTTTGAGCTAATTGTTGATGTAGAACTCCTGGGAGAGTGAGATGGTGCGAGCCTGACGATTGCGAGTAATCTCCATCCTTAGGTAGTGTTTAAGGTCACCGAGGTCTTTCATCAAGAGGCCTTGCTTAGGCCCTCCTGGACAGAGGTCAACTGGGCCAAGTCCTTGACAACGAGGATGAAGTCATCGATGTAGACAAGGATGTAGAGTGGCTCAGAGTGGAGGCGAATGAAGAGAGTTGGGTCTGCGGATGATGGGTTAAAGTCCAATGAGAGGGGCTTGTTTAAGGTCGTAAACAGGGCGATTCAGCTTCCAGACAGTGTTAGGAGGGAACTCTCATGGAAAGCCTTCAGGTCGATCCATGAACATAGTCTCATTGAGGTGTCCTTGTCAAGGCTCAAAATTACGGTTTTTGTAAAATACGGTCTGTTTTTTACGGTCGTTTTTTACGGTGTTTTTTTCAAAAATACCGCTGTTTTTTTGTTAGAGAACTCCGTTCACAGAGAAAAAAAAGGAGAAAAAACAAGGTGAAAAACATTTCCAATCATGCCAACAAGCGCTACATGCAAAGAGGGGTCCGTCCCCTTCATGCTACTGCATTTAGGGTTCAATCTGGTCCCACTAAGTGGCCGTTTTGTTAGTTAAATAGGAAACACCTCATAGAACTGTTTTAAACCGTTTCTTACGACCGTTTTTTAGGATACCGTTTTTTACGGTAGATTTTCAAAAATACTTTCGCTTTTTTTAAGCGGGGTCCTAGACCTCAACTAGGTTGGCCTTACGAGGGCGCATCCAGTTTGGCGGCTTCTTGTCGACTCCGTGGATGGCATACCATTCGTCGTCTTCCTTCTTGAAACACGTAGCAAGGGGGTGGTTGATGCCACCACACACTTGTCCCTTGCGGTTGCCAAACTTGACGACGTAGGTGCACGGAGGGAAACGGTTGCGCTGGAAGGGAGGTCAGGCGACACTTGATTGCGGCACGGGAGCACGGAGAGCATAAGCCTTTGCTTGAGCCGTGGAGTCTTTCTCCGCAGAGAGTAGGGCGGAGGACACCTTAGCAAAAGTGTGAGGATCTAGGATCGAGCTCAGAAAAGAGAATTGTAATTGAATGATCACCTGGGTACAACACGAGGCTATATATAGGCTCGACACAAGGCCCCGTAACTAGACGTTACGCGAAGGTTCTGAGGGACGCGAAGGTTCTAAGGGTCGCGAAGCGTCCCGAACAGGGCCTTCCCGAATCCAGTAGAAGGCAACTCGGTGACAACTGAAAAGCCAAAATTCGGTGCACGCAACCTAGCTCGGTGCTATAACTATAATAAAATATAGGAAAGCACCTAGCCTAGGAAATCAAGCAATTCATGCATGCATATAATTATCCTATGCTAGAAATAGCATAATAAAGTAAAGGCAAGCAAGCATAGCTGGCAAAAGCCGCGTACTCTCACACGTCTCCCCCTCAAAGCTGGGTGGCGTAAGATACACCCTGCTTGACAAGATAGTCCTTGAGAGCACGGCGTGCGTTGCCCATATCAGCTTCTGCAACCCAACTGTCCTCAGTGGGGTCGTATCCCTTCCAGCATATCGGGAACTCGAGGGTCTTGCCGCCGCAACGCCGATGGTGATGATGCGGTCGAAGAAGAGGCGAGCAGTTGCTTCAGTTGTAGCTGTGGCGTTGGTCGGTATGAAGGGACCCATTTTGGAGAACTTATCGATCACTACGAGGATGGAATCGTGCCCCCGTGAGGTCGAAGGAAGTCCTATGATGAAGTCGAGGCTAATGACCTGCCATGGCTGCTCCGGTACGGGTAGAGGCTGAAGTAACCCTGCTTTTTTCTGCTTGCTACTCTTCATCCGCTGGCACGTGTCGCATGAGGTGACGAACTGCTGCACGTCTGCTGCCATCCCGGGCCAGTAGTAATACTTTGCTATTCCCGCTAATGTCTTGTTGCTCCCGAAATGTCCCGCGTATGGTACGTCGTGAAACTCCTCCAATAGGATCTGCTGTAGCGGGGCGTAATTCAGTACCCAAATCCTTTCTATGCCCTTCCTTGCAACGAAGTATTTTCTCCCACTGTAACAGCTTCTTAGTCTGTGCTGTAGCGATCTCTGCATCCACGGAGTATCCATGTTGGAATAGACCCTTGAGCAGAGGGTTCATCCCGTCGAGTTGGATGCCTGCTACATGACCGGGGTGGCTCAATGCGTCTGCTTTTTTGTGTAGCCCGGGCTTGTAGATAATGTCGTAGTGGAAGTGAGTTTCCAGGAAGTCCACCCACCGCACCTATCAACGTGAGAGTGTCGGCTGCGACTTCAGGTATTTGAGACTATAGTGGCTCCCTCTAGGTAACACCTCCACGCCTTGAAGGCTATGACTATCGCTAAGGCTCCCTTGTCATGGATAGGGTAGTTTAGTTCTCCTCCATACATCTTCTTACTGAGGTAGGCGATAGGCTGCAAACCGTGTCCGTGATCCTGCATCATTACTGCTCCGACTGCCTGGTCACTAGCGTCTGCTTTTACCATGTAGTTCTTGTCTGGATCTGGTAGGATTAAAACTGGCGCTGTAGTCAGTGCTGTCTGTAGCTGCTCCATGGCTTGCTGATGAGGAGTATACCATTTGAAGGGCGTCTCCTTTTTCAGTAGATTTGTTAGTGGCGCTCCTATCTTAGCGTACTGGGGCACGAACCTGTTGTAGTAGTTGACGAAGCCTAGGAACTGCTGCAACTCCTTCACGCTCTCCGGTATTTTCCACTTCTTCACGGCTTCGATCTTCCGTGGGTCCACGTATACGCCCTCGGCACTCACCATGTGCCCGAGAAACTGCACCTTCTTCAGTGCAAAGTCGCTCTTCGTCATCTTCACATAGAACTTGTTTTTCCGCAGGATCTCGAACACCTTCCGCGGATGCTCCACGTGCTCCTTCATGTTCTTGGAGTAGATGAGGATGTCGTCCAAGTACACCACTACGCACTCGTCCAGCAGGGGCCGTAGAATATGATTCATCTCCGCCTGAAACGTTGCTGGTGCGCTGCAGAGTCCGAACGGCATCACCAAGTATTCGTAGGAGCTGTATTTGGTACGGAACGCCGTCTTGTGAATCGAGTTGTCCGCCATCTTGATCTGCCAGTAGGTCCAGCTTCGAAAAGAGTGTTGCACCACGCAGTTGATCCAGAAGGTCGTCGATGCGCGGTATGGGGTATTTGTTTTTTACTGTCTGTTTGTTCAGTGCGTGGTAGTCGATGCACATCCTTAGATTGCCATCTGGTTTTGGAGTGAAGAGAACTGGTGCACCGTAAGGAGAGGGGCATGGGTGGATCAGTTGTCTGTCCAGTAGATACTCTATCTGTTTCTTCATGTCTGTCAGTTCGGTCGGACTTCGTTGGTATGGTGCACCTGAGACGGGTTTCGCACCTGGTTCCTCCATGATCTCGTGCTCGTGGGTGCGTTCTGGAGGTACGCCTGCAGGTAGGTCATCGGGCATTATATCCTTGTACTGCTCCAAAACCTCCTTCACTGCTGCAGGTAGCTCCGTACTCAGCTTCTCCTCCTCTGCTCATGCCATAACAAGTGCTAAGTAACCCGTGTTTCTCTTGTTTACCGTCCGTTCAAACCGTGCCAGTATCGTTTCAGGAACGTTCCCTGTATCCGTCCAGCTTCGCAGCTTCACTCGTTTCCCGTTGTTGTAGATGCACACCTTCCTATTGACCCAGTCGATCTCGGGTTTGAACCGCTTCAAGAAATCTCGCCCCAAGATGAAATCTGATCCCTTGATGTTCGTGATCGGCAACGTCGGCTTCCAACTCAGCGCCCCTATGTGTAGCTGCAGTGATGCTTCGCCGTGGATGGGAAGTATTGTACCGTCCGCCATCGTTGCCGTGAACTTGGTCTCCTCCGAAGGTTCTCCAATTTTCTCCAACGTCCCGCAGTCGCACACCGAGTGGGACGCACCACTGTCCTCCAGTGCCTGGAGGCGTCGCCCGTTGCGGATCACCTCGAGTAGTAGTGGTTGTTGCTGCTCCGAGTAACCGTAGATGGTCTCGCTTATAGGATCGTATGGTACGTCGAATAGATCATCCCTTGGTCCTGCGCCCGAAACTGCTGACTCCATATCAGTTTTCATCTGAGCAGGGTTAGAAGGATTTATCCGAGGCCGATTCAGCTTCGTCTTGGCCTTGAACCTTCCCCTAAACCTTTGCAGCTGAGTAGGCTTCTCTTGTGGGCAATGGGGAGCCTTAACACTGTGCTGCAAGGAGATAATATTAACTCCTTGTAACGCACGACCCTTTTCAACGCTCCGGAGTGGTTTGCCCAACTTCTCAGGTACTTGAACAATGTCTAAAGGCTTTTTCTTGGCCTTGAAATCTCCCCTGAATTTTTAAAGGCTTGAAAACCTCGAGAGGGAATATTCTTACTCTCGGGGGTGTTCAGCTGAAGTTTCCGGGTCGGTGAAGAGTCTTGTTTCGCGGAGCCTCCATTTGTCTCGGCGATTTCCCCTGTTGACGGCCGGTCGTGGCGTTTTAAATTCGCGCCATCAGGGAGCAGTGGGGCAATAGCAGAGCAGCATAAGACCAGAGGACGGGAGAGAAGGAGCAGTATGAACTAAAGGCAGGGGAGGTTGCAGGAGACAACGGGGAGGAGGAAGGGAAGGGAAGGGAGCAAGGTAAGGGAATTTTAGACACATCGCACTTCCAAATCAATGATGTCAGCGAGCCACAGGAGCACCTGCTGTGCCATGCATGCTCAGGTTACATGCACTCTCAATGCACTTTCTCTCCTTGCTACCATGCCATGCTTGCTGTCTAATCACAACGATCAAGAACAACCATTCCAGAGTACAGAGCAAGTTCAAAAGTGTGGGTAATGAACATTGTAGCTACCCAATACCAAGCATATGACAGGTCCTTCAGTGTGCTTTATTTGGGAAGCATGCATGTACGGTTGAGCAAATGGCTTGGCCAGGTCGAGAGGAAACCAACGCAGCGAGCCAGGCAAGTCTGACTGGGCCGAGCTCAAGCCGGCCAATGAGGACAAAAGAAGGCCCAGTTGGACACATGAAGAACGGCAATGGGCCAAACTGGGGAATTCACTCTTGCATAATGTACTAGCCTTGTATTCCTTTGTATACCCACACTATTAGCTGATTGACATGAATTATTTGTAACTTTCCTACTTACTTCTTCCTCTGCCTCTCTTTCAATCGCACTCCTTGTTCCTCCATGCAGGAGTCTCGATCACAATGAGCTTATTGGCTCCATTCCTGCTGAGATTGGTAACATGACGGAACTAGTAAGCTTGTAAGCTAGTCCCCGCTCCTCTCTCTCCATTTCCCAACATCTTCCTATAAGGACGGTTACTCCAGCTGTGCTATCTTTCTGTTTAATGCATCCTGTCATACGTTGCAGGTGAGTGGGAACTAGGGGCTATTATTCTCCTTTTGGTTCGAAGCAAACCGAGTCAACTGGATGTTCCAGCTGTGAATGTTGTGCATTCCATTGTACTGGCAAAGTTGGGCTTTTGGTGGCTTGCCGAAAGTTGAACCGGCCTTGTCATCCGGAGCTGCCGCCCAATGAGAATCTAGCACATGACTTAAGCAGGTGATAATATTTAGCAAATATAATAATTGAACCTTGCACCTTCTTTTGTTTCTCGCCACGGTTCGCATCCGCTCAGCCCTTCAATCTTAAAAACCGCTCACTTTCCTCGACCTGGTACTCCGTCCACCCTCATTCTCCCGTTCTATCCTTCCCATCGTTCCCCTTTAACATCCTTCCGTCTCACCACCATGGCCACCAGGTCTCTCACCTTCAACCAGCTGTATGGCAGCATACCAAGCACTCTCACCCAGCTCACACAGCTCACATTCTTGTACGATCCACACGCTACCTCAAAGTTAAGTTTGAGGTCAACGAGCACTGAACAATGCCAATACCAATCAGGAAGATCCCTGATTAGATCAAGGTGACACCACATGTATGCTCGTGGTTGCCATGGCAGCATTCTGTAGACCCTCTTCACATCCCTCAGATTGCTGCCTCATTCTCCCTTCATCTCCTACTTTGTCTCACCCCACCATCTGTGTAGGCCTCTTCTTCCACTTCCTCTTCTGCAATCTCCTCCACCTCCCCTTCTTCTTCTGCTCTACTTCTCGTTCACTCCTCATGGTTCTTCTCATTCTTGTAGTCCGGACACCCACCCTACTCAACAACCCCTCACATTTTCGCTCCCTGCACTCCACTTTTTCAAATCCAGATGCATTGAGGCGATCCCCATCCTCCTTCTCCCAACAATTGTCCCTCCCGCTTGCAGCGACCTTTCTCACAACTACCTCACAGGCAGCGAGCTGAAGCCTCTTGCTGTGCTCTACCTGGATCTCTCCAGCAACTTCCTCTTGGGCCCTCTGCCCGATGAGGCATGCCAGCCTCTTTCTTTTGATGCCAACTGCTTCACACTGCCACAGGGCTGTGCCTTGGTGTCGCAGCGGCAAGAGGCAGCATGCATTGCATTCTGTGGCGTCTCCTCTGTAGATGGTGGTGCTGCTGCGTGTGGTGGACATGGGGTGTGCTATCCACAGGGGCCTAGCTTGGCACCCACATGTCTGTGCAATGCGGGATTCGTGCGCTTTGGAGACATTGACTGTGTTGCTCAAGGTAGGGGCCACCATTGAAGTCAATAGAATAGTGAGACGTTCATCCGTTGGTTAAAAATTCGTCCGACCTTCTTTAATTTTGTAAGCCTTGCATCCCATCTCACGCTCTCATGCTCTCCACATCCCACTCCTGTCCGCCCCTCCGTTACTTTTGTTTGTGCAGGCCAGAACCGGAGTTACTCAAGCAGCTAGCCAGTTCTCCCGCCAGCATCTGTGCTCACCAACGGGACGCAGCGGGAGATGAGGGGGAACTTCACCACAGCTCCAGTGACTTTGTTTGTGTACGAGGCAGGGCAGGGGCTGTCGGGGTATGGACTGCACCTCGCCTTCCATGCCAACTTCACCTTCTCCCTCTCACCTCAATCCGGCCGCGTGGGCTTTAACGGCTTTGCCTTTGCTGTCTCGGCTACCGACCGGGTGGGGAGAGGCACCGGTGTGGGGTATGGTGGAATGGACAAGCGGAGTGTGGCAGTTGAGTTTGACACTCGGCAGGACAAGCAGCACGGTGACATGAGCAGCCAGCATGTGGGGCTGAACATTCGAGGCGAGGACAAGTCGCTAGCCGCTGTACCATCACCATTCCCTCTGAGCAGCAAGAAGGCATACACGGCATGGGTGGACTATGAGCCAGGGGATCCTGGCACCATCCAGGTCTTCCTGGCCGACTCGAAGGAGAAGCCGCGGGAGGCGGTGCTGGAGAGGAGGCTGGCGTTGTGAGAGGTGCTGGAAGGTGGGTCGGAGCAGCACTCTTTCTTCTTTGGCTTCGTGGCCTCCACCACTGTGAAGCCGTTTCAGAAGCATGCCATTCTTGAATCTACAGTGGACACAGGTTAGCAAGCATAGACATGAGCAGAATTCGTTACACAAGTCGAGATTTTCTCGACTTGCTTGTACGTACGCTGACTCGATCGAGTCTGGAGTTTTCGCGTAAATCTCGACCATTTTTTTTTTGTACTCGGACCTGACTCGTCACTCGCCCTTTTGACGAGCATTTCTAGGATCGAACAAGCTGAATAGGCAATGGTTAGTGGTTGGGCCCTAAACACAAAACCTTTTAATACAGGTGCATCATCAGCACTAAATATACGGAGCAGGATGGAACGGAGTGCATGTTAGATGGATATGAGGTGGCAAACAACCAACACTGGCATAAGGTGCAGATGCTATGCGAAAAGACATGCAGCCTAGCAGATTGTGGGGAACATAGACTTGATTGTATTGTGATTTCATTTTCCATCTTCAAAATGCCCTTGTTGCAACTTCTCTTGTTCACATCCCATTCATTCCCCCACTCCGGAGAGCATCTCAGCCTATGGCCTGCAGCTATTAACAAATACGTACATGCCAACATGGGTCAGCCCCTTCCCGCGCTACATGAGTGCGGACTACCGAGTGGCACCCGGCAAGCAGGACTCGTGGGTCGTCAGCGACTTCCACTCCTTGGACTCCGTGCCCTTTCTCGGCTGGCCCGTCAAGGACCAGAAAGACAGCAGTGAGTAAAATATATAGAGAAGCATGTTGGGGCCAAGAGCTTGGCTGGTGTGTCGTGAGTGGTTGCTACAATCTGCTTGTTCCTCTCTACCTGCTCTTCTGCTGCCACATATTTCAGCCAGCCAACTCAATATACGTGCTTGGGATCTAATCTGGTTATTCACCGCTCTTTTTCAACACTCTTCGGATCCACGTTTGTTCGCTCACGAAATTGTTCTCACATCCAGATGCTTGTTGGGCATTCGCGCTGGTGGCGAGTGTGGAAGCGGCATACGGCATTGCAACGAATGGAGAGGCGCCGCAGCTGTCAGTGGAGTCGCTCTTTGCAGCCATGGGGCTCACCTCCGAGGCTGACAAGTGCAGCACAGGGGGCTCTCCCACCGAGGCACTTGAAACGCTTCTCATGCTGCCCAATAGCGGAATCACAGAGGCTGGTGCACATGTGAGTAGTGAGGTGGAGGAGTAGAAGGCTAGAGAGGCATAGATGTTTGTGAGAGAATTGGGAACTTTGAGTAGTGTGCCCGATGTAGATTTAGTTGCAACTATTCTACAGCTGGTGACACAAAAACTCTTATTTGAGTTCTACAGTCACTCGTTGCAGTCACTGTCAACGGTTGCAATCTCTAACGCAGTTGAAAAGATCTCTCGAATGGCATAATATTGCTCTGGAAGTTGGATATGTCAAAACGGATTGGTTGAAGCAAAAAGGCCAAGTTTTCATGCAAGAGGCCAACAGTTTCTACCAAGAAAAACCAAGAGAGGGCTAAGTAAGCCTATAAAGAAACAACTCGCTATTCGCAGGGTATTCAGGACACAATTTAATACTCGAGTGACTATACGAATTTGACGTCGCATGCTATTCGCATGTATCCGTGTCAAACTTATATGCTATAGTCTGTGTAGGCTGTAGTGGGGTAGGCTATATGGGGTACAACATTTCTAGGTTTTCCTACTTGTACCCACCTCTTTCCTAGTTCATTCATTCCTCATTCTTCATATGGTATCAGAGCAGGTTCCCTCGTGGGAAGGCTTCTGAGGGCCCACCACCTAACTCGATCTTTTTTTTCCTGCCCGAGGTGCGCCCCGTAGGCCGCCCTCACGTCGCGCCCTCCTAGAGGCCCCTCGCGCCACCCTTAGCGGCCCCGTCGCCGTCCTTTCCAGCTCCGTCACCGCCCCTCTAGGCCCCTCACGGCCCCTTCGCGGCCCCATCGCCGCCCCTCTAGGCCCTGTCGTCGCCCCTCTAGGCCCCTCGCGGCCCCTTCGCGGCCCCGTCGCCGCCGCTCTAGCCACGTCGCCGCCCCTCTAGGCCCCTCGCGGCCCCTTCGCAGCCCCGTCGCCGCCCCTAGCCGCCCCGTCGCCGCCCCTCTAGGCCACTTAAGGCCCCTTCGCGGCCTCGTCGCCGCCCCTCTAGGCCCCGTCGCCGCCCCTCTAGGCCCCTTGCGGCCCCTCTGCGGCCCCGTCGCCGCCCCTAGCGGCCCCGTCGCCGCCCCTGGAGGCCCCGTCGCCGCCCTTCGCAGCCGCCTCGCCGCCCTTCGCGGCCCCGTCGCCGCCCCTAGCGGCCCCGTCACCGCTCTTCACGGCCCCGTCGCCACCTCTAGCGGCCCCGTAGCCGCCCTTTGCGGCCCCGTCGCCGCCTCTACCGGCCCCGTCGCCGCCTCTACCGGCCCCATCGCCACCTCTACCGGCCCCTTCACCGCTGAGCCGCCCAGCAGCTGAGCAGCCGAGCCACCACGGCGCCGAGCCGCCCAGCAGCCGAGCCGCCCGACAGCCCAGCCGCCGAGACGCCCAGCAACCGAGCCGCCGAGCCGCCCAGCAACTGAGCCGCCGAGCCGCCCAGCAACCGAGCCGCCCTGCCGTCGAGCCGCTACTGTTCCTCCCAGCGAGCCCCGGCTCTACCCACCCGGACTGGTGAGAGCCCTTCCTACTAGACCACTGCTGTCATGGCTACCCCCAGTGTCCTTACCTTTGATGCTGAGGGTAGTGCTGTTGACTTCGAGGTCTGGGTCGATGACCTGCAGCTTTTCCTATAGTGGGATAGGGCAGACAGACTCTCCCTGTTTGATCTCACCTCTGGTGCCTCTCCTGCCCCGCCTACTACTGCTGACAGCACTCTTCGCTCACAGTGGGCCACACGCGATGCTGCTGCCCGTCTTGCTGTGCGTCGACACTTACCGACCACTAAGCGTGCGCACTTTAGTCAGTAAAGAATGCTAAGACCTTGTACGACGCTGTAGTTGCACGCTACTCTTCCCCTGCCACTACTGCTCTTAGCTGCCTCATGCTGCCATACCTGTTCCCTGACCTTGCTGCCTTTCCCACAGTCGCTGACCTCATTACGCACCTTCGCACTAGTGACACTCGCTACCGCGCTGCCCCTCCTGCTGAAATCTGTGCCAAGAACCCTCCCCCCATGTACATCACCCTCTACTACATAGTCACCTGGCTCCGGACTCCCTTCGCTTAGTCAGGGACCACTTCCTCTCAGTTTGCCCCACCACACTCACCGTTGACCTCCTCGAGGAGCGCCTCCTAGCAGCAGAGAAGAGCATAGTCGCTGTAGGAGCCTCTCGTGGTGACCCTCGCACCCCCGTCTTTGAGGGGTGTAACCCTTCCCCCCTCTTGCCCTCTGTTGCTTCTGCTGCTACGGCCGACCTCGTTGGTTTCGAGTCGGTCGGCGCTGCGTCTGCCCCTAGCGCGAGACCCCGCATCGGCAAGGGCAAGGGGGGCAAGGGCGCTGGAGGGGCTGGCGGGGGCGGTGGAGGTGGTGGTGGAGGCAGTGGGGGGGGTGGGGGTGGTGGTGGGAGTGGTGGCGGGGGTGGAGGTGTCGGTGGCAGCAGTGGAGGCGGAGGAGGCGGTGGCGGTGGCGGAGGGAGCGGAGGTGGTGGAGGTGGCGGAGGCAGCGAAGGTGGCGGAGGCGGCAGAGGTGGCGGAGGCGGCGGCGGCAGCGGTGGAGCTGGTCGCGGCTCTGTGCAGAGGAGTGGGTCCGGTGGTGGTACGCGCCTGCAGCAGCAGCGCAGTCGTGAGACCCTGTCCCCTCAGCAGCTCCGTGAGTGGTACGCTGGGCGTCAGCGAGGTGGGGGAACTGGTCCCTGCACCTACGTCCTCCGTACCGGCGACCGCGCTGGTGAGCAGTGCGGGGGCCCGCACTCCACCCAGCGCTGCTTCGGCCGCCTGACGGACGCGTGGCATCACCAGTTCCCTGACGCCACTGAGATCCCTCGCTGGGGAGAGCTGTCTAGGGCAGGGGTTGCTATCTTTGATCTTGATTATGATGCTATTCTTGCTGCCATATATGCTAGGTCTGATAGTGTGGAGGGTGACTGTTACCTGTGTGTTCCGCCTGACCCGGGCATTGAGGCTGCTGCTCTAAGTGCTAGTGCGTCTGCTGCCCCAGGTGTTGGTGAGTCTGCCCTCTGAGGTACCACGTCGGCTCAGGCCTTACACACCTTCACCCTTGACTCTGGTGATTCCCGCTCCTTCTTTCGAGACTGCACCACGCTTACGCCGCTTAGTCGGCCGGTTGCAGTCTCCCTGGCGGACCCCTCTGGGGGTCCTGTCCTTGCTAGCTTCTCCACTATCTTACTGTGTCCGGCAGCCCCTTCTGGCACCCTGTCAGGTCTCTACCTCCCCTCGTTCTCTACGAACTTGGTGAGTGGAGCTGATCTGCAGGATAGGGGGGTTGACCAGTTCACTCCTGCGAGTCAGCGAGTGACCCACTGCACGTGTGCTCGGACGGGCCGACACTTGGTCACGTTTACCCGTCGGCCGGGGTCGAGCCTGTACACACTGACTACTGAGTCTCCTTCGGTTACTGAGTCTGGTCAGGTAGCTGTGTTGAGTCAGGTGTTTGCTGCAGCGTCCAGGTCTGGTCCTGAGTCTGCTCCCTGCTCGTGTCGTCTCCTGTCCCACCAGACTCTCCTTTGGCACCACCGCCTTGGTCACCCCTCCCTGCCTCGTCTCCGAGGCATGGCCTCCCGTGTCCTTGTCTCTGGTCTCCCCCGGCCCCTCCCTCCCCTCCCTCTAGGGCCTGCCCCTACCTGCGTTCCCTGCGTCGAGGGGCGGCAGCGCGCCGCCCCTTACTCCTCCAAGTTTCCTTCGACAGAGGCTCCACTGCAGACTCTTCACATGGACGTGTGGGGCCCGGCCCGCGTCCGTGGCTAGGGTCACGAGCGTTACTTCCTGTTGGTGGTTGACGACTACTCGCGTTACACCATGGTGTTCCCCTTGCGCGGCAAGGGTGACGTCACTGAGGTGTTGATCGACTGGATCCGCGCAGCTCGTCTCCAGCTTAGAGAGAGTTTCGGCCCGGACTTTCCTCTTCTACGTCTGCACTCTGACAGAGGCGGGGAGTTTTCCTCTGCCCGTTTGGGAGCCTTCTGTCATGCACAGGGCATCCGCCATACCTTCACGCTTCCGGCCTCTCCACATTAATATGGGATTGCTGAGCGCCGCATTGGCATGGTCATGGACGTCGCTCGTACGTCCATGATCCATGCGGCTGCCCCCCATTTTCTGTGGCCGTTTGCGGTTCAGTACGCAGCGCATCAGCTCAACCTTCAGCCCCGGGTCTCCTTGCCAGAGACCTCCCCCACCTTGCGGTGGACGGGGAAGGTTGGCGATGCGTCTACATTTCGGGTCTGAGGATCTCGGGCGTTTGTCCGCGACTTGTCTGCGGACAAGCTGTCCCCCCGTGCTGTTCCCTGCGTCTTCCTTGGCTTCCCCCCTGACGCGCCTGGTTGGCAGTTTTACCACCCCACCTCGCGCCGTCTTCTGTCCTCCCAGGACGTCACCTTTGATGAGTCGGTGCCTTACTACCGTCTCTTCCCCTACCGCGCTGCGCCCCTCCCCCCGCCGCCGCTCTTCCTTGCGCCAGGTCCTCCGCCGGTAGACCCCCTCCCCCCTCATAGTCCTGCCCCGTCAGGTGTGTCCCAGGTAGATGCAGTCGAGCCTGTCAAGGTAGCTGTTGACTCTGGTGCTGCTAGAGGTGCTGAGCCTGCGAGTGCCGAGCTTGGGGGTGCTGAGTCTGGGGGTGCTGAGCCTGGAGGTGCTCAGCCTGGGGGTGCTAGGGCTGGGGGTGCTGAGCCTGGGGGTGCTGAGCCTGGGGGTGCGGAGCCGGGGGGTGCTGAGTCTGCTCGTGTGGCCTCTCGCGGTGCTTCGTCGAGGCGGGAGCTACTCTCTCCGCAGGAGCTGCGCGAGTGGTTTGCCCGGCGCTGGAGCCGTGCTGCTGAAGCTGGAGGTACTACTGTTGCTGCTGGTCCCGGAGGTGCTCCTACTGGCGGTACTGGAGCTGCTGGGACTGGGGGTGCTGCTAAGGCTGCTAGAGTTAGCCCTGCTGGAGGTACTGCTGGAGCTGGTGGCGGTATTGGAGCTGACAGTCCTGCTGGAGTTGGTGCTGCTAGAGCTCCGGAAGCTGGAGCTGCTGGGGGTGTAAGCACTGGTGGTTCTGCTGGCGCTGGTGCTTCTGAG